TTGATATCTAAAATGAATACATAAAAATGAAGTGTTATGAACGTGATGGGAAATAAAAGGTGGCAAAATAAGCATCTGCATTACAGACAGCTTTATGCTGGCAATCGGTAACAAAATTACTGATCCTGCTGTTCTTCTCTCCTATTGAGGGTGTTGCTATTTACTTGTTCACAGGAATGTGGAAGAAAAAAATCTTGCTATTTCTTATGCTGCTCTATCCTTCAGCTTCTCGTTGAGAATCTACCATGGTGTTATTCTGCCTTTATTCTTGTCCGTTACCGTCCTCATGAGGGACAGCTAAAGCTTTAGTTAATGGAGGATAAGGACAGAAAAGGTCTCTCTGTCTTTCTTTTCTCTATCTCCTCCCTTTCTATCTCTCTGTCTCTCTTTGGCCATTGAAAATGTAGGTCATATTGCATCACCATAAAATGGAACAGTCAGAAAGGTGTTTGAAAAATGCTGACATCCTTAGCCCCGGGTGCACGCCAGTGTCCTTTGTTTACATTGAGGATGGTGTTGGACCCGAGTAGGAACCAACGTCTCTGCTCAGGTTAGTGGTGTGCTACCTAAATTATGAGTCAGATTTTAAGATGACTTTCATCTGCCTGCAGTGATATAAAATCAGACAGACAAAATGCAACCACTCACAATAATGATATACACGAGGAGATAATTTGTAATCTTTAATCTGCAATAACCATGACTGTGTAGTTTGAATAATATTATATTTAACAAGAGCTCAGTAATAAATTTTGCAAATCACGTTAATTGTGTGCTCTGCATTGTCTTGATTAGCTGTGCCTTTCTGTCTTGAATAATATCTGTTTATATTATATGTTTATGCATCCTTTGTAACACTATTGTCTTACTCTGTGAACAATTTTAAATGAGCTAATCGGGGTTTCATTTATTTTTAGAAAAATGGAAAATTCTGATGTCCGGAATCTTTTTTGCTTGCTACCAGTCTTTTGTTGCTTGTGTTTCTGATGTAATACAAGTTGTAACTGGTATAAAATGTTCCTATTATATAAAATACTGAACGTAGAACGTGTCTTTTTCTTCTCTACAGGTGTATACAAATACACTTTTTTAAAGAAACATATAAATACAATTTCAACTGTCATTATTTATCTTAGCTTGCTGCAGTAAGCTAACGTGTTTTATAGATTGAACTTTCAGAGGGTGACATAAATCACAGTGGAAGAAGTAGGTATTTTGAAATGGAAGACAAGATACCTCCTTATAGAGTATTTTTATTTCTGAAACCAAGTATTTTTTAGCCTCTCTATTCTATGCTTTGTCTGGTTGCATTTCTGCAGTTGAAATGCAATATTCAAAGGCTTCTTATGACTTTGTTATTTGTACCGCTGAAGAAAACTTCTAAGATAAAAGAAAAATTGTTGCAAGATAAAACTAAAATTAGTGATGAGTTGCCGAGGAAAATAATGAATGGTAATCTTTTTTTTCTGTTGTAATTAGGCAAAGGAAAATGACACTAATCAAAGTTAAGATAGCTCAAGTACACTTTGCTGTGCGCAATTATTTTGCAGTTTTTATCAGTTTAGTGTGAATTGTTCCAAAGGCATTGTTACGTCTCCTTTGACTAAGGTATCAGTTATTAAATAAACTTAACTAGTATCTTAATTGACCCTTCTCATTAGCTACGAAAATGCCTATACACGTTTGACATAGTTTTAGAGTAACCGTGCATCATTACTGTGTTTAAGCACTGGATATTCTGTGACATTTGTGTTTTTATAAATACAGAGGAAATATTTAAGTACTTGTGAGAAATATTTAGTATTTGCATACATACTAATTATGAAGTCTTGAGAGGCTGCAACCTTCTAATTGGTATTTACAAAAGTTTTGGTATCTAGTCTCCATTTGAAACATGTAACTGGTACTTTGTTTTTCAATCTGTAAAGATGTAAAGAATTACAGCTCCTAAGGGATGTAGGAGGACCAGTTATGTAATTAGTAGAGTTTGTAGTTCTTTTTTCTTCTTTGACCCACTGATACTCTGTAATGGGCAGGTCAGGAGTCAGTTTCCAGCACAAATGAGATCAACCTCAGAATTGCTGTTTTACTCTTGAGCTACTTGCTAGCCTTAATAGCAGCCCATAGCCTCATCCTGGCCATCTCGTGTTCTTTCAACACAGACCTCCCCAACCCACTTTCCTACGGGGCAGAATAAGATCTCATTAGGTTATGGCCATAAGCATAATATATCAAAAATAAAGCCCAATTTTGGGATGATTATACCTAACACACCTAAATCTTTGTTTACATAAATGTAAATATATAAACATTTAAGACAAAATACAATTTTGTACCTAACAAAATAGAAAGAATGCTCCACAGCTCAGGTGTGTGCTGTTACATATTTCTGAGATTCTGTTTGTAAAGGAGTTAATGGCGTTTGGCTAACTGAGGCATTTGTTTGGATACTTGCAGTAGTCAGGGATGCTTTATCACATACGTTTACACTTCTTTGTTTTGATGAGTTGCTTTGCAATTTCAGTTTTCATGTAACTATATTTCCCCTTAAATGGATAATATTCATTAGTCATCATGACTAATTATGTCCCAGCCAAAGCTGTATATAAAGCTTTTACTCTGCTTGATTGTGGTTTCCTGTATCTCGTAGTATTAAGTAGCAATCACAACGAGATTTCTTTGATATTCAGCCATATACACTAACTCCGCTTCATTGGTTTGAAAATGCCTTTTTTCATTTTCTTGGATTGCCACTTTGCCTGTTTTTGTCATCTCTCCATCCTTCAGCCAGCTCTCCCTTTCCCAGTGCACCGAAGTGCCTGCCTTCTGGAGAGTGAGCTCCTCCTGCCTTATTCTCAATCATCCCATCTCTTCCTTACAATACTCTTTGCTGACAGTTGTGGTTGTAATTGACCTGCTGTAAATCCTCAGTAAGAATCATTCCTGTTCTTTGCCACCTATCATCCAGAGAAAGAGCTCTCTTTAAGAGTCGTTAAGCTGTCACTTTATTCTTCTGAAATTTATTCTGTTAACTTCCTTCAAACTCCACTCCAGATGTAATCCCTACAGCAAAATTCACAGGTGGTGACATAGTGTGCTCTGTTCTCTTGTATATAGGAATAAAAATTTTACTGTTCCTTCCTTCACCCTCATCTGATTCATTGTTTGTACTTACCACTTACTTATTGCTCAATTCCTAGATTTTTAAGTCTTTGGAAAGCATTTTATTTTATAGGTAGCTTTTTTTGTTTTCATTATTGTGTGAAGCAATGGAATTCGCCTTTTATCCAACTAGTGCCATTTAAATCAGGATAAAAGAAAAGGCATTTTGCATGCAGAGCTCCCATATCCCCTGAAGAAATTAGGGTAGAGATGAAGGAGTGAGTTACCTTCACAGCAGGGAGATGATATGCTTGAAGGGATTGAGGCTCTGAGGCTGAGCACTGAATGATCTGTAAAGAGGAAGGTCTGTATGAATTCAGTCTTCATGCCCTGAACAGACAAAGGGAAAAAAAGACTTTTGACAAACACCACATTTCCTTTCCCAATGAGCAGCAGCAAGAGTTGAAGAGAAAGTTGTAATATTGTATTATTCAATGAGAGTTTAAATTTCTGAGAGATCTGGTGTAGAAATTTGTTAATGATCAGTTACCTCGAGTCCTATTAACCATAAAGCAGAATGATGCAGAGGAGAGAGAGAAGTAATACAGTAGTAGCTGTCAAGTGTTGTCCACTGAAGACATTATTTTATTTCACTGATTAACTAAAATATCCTAAAGCTCTGATGTGCTTCCTAGGATCAAGTACCTCACTGAGCAGGGTAAACCTCAGTAAAGGTTAGAAATAGTAAATATATCTGTAGGTGATCTCAGTCAAAGCAGTGTCAGCTGGTAAGCTGCAGTTTGAAAGGAAAAGAGGGTTTTATTCTCATTGCATTAAAAGAATTTAAAAGCATGAACTTGGTTTGCAGACGGCTTCCCAGAGAAGTAGCAGAAGCCAAGAAAAGCTTCGTTCTGCACCTTCCGTTGGGGCAGAGCCCTCCAGCCTGTGGGGTGGCTTGGGTGCCCTCTTGGACTGCATTCCTCTTGTCTGGACTTTAATCCTTGGAGGGGAAAAAAATAGTTCTCTCTGAAGTGTCATGCGTCCCCAGCACTAGATTGGCTTATTTATAGCTAACTTCATGACTTCTAAGAAGATGAAAAAAAATTGCTAGTTTAATTTCAAAACACTTACAAAAAAACAATTATTTGATCTTTAATATAACCCATGCACGAGGACGGATGAAAATAATTTTTAAGTTTTAACTGGGCTTTGGTTTAGCTTTACCAATTAAGCATTGATTTACGGTAAACCAAAGCAAACTGTGCTTAAATTTATGTAAACAGTAAGTTTATAAGCATTAAATGAAAGGATTTAAAACCCCCAAGCTTGCAATAATTGATGTTCCTCTTGCAGGAAGGGCCTCGGTTCATTTGTCTTCTTAATTTTTATTAAACTCTGCATCAGTTATAGAGTGATAGTCACCAATGACTTTTACGTGAGGGATCGTTTTCAGCTATCTACGTTGTATGACATGGGGGTAAAAATGTCAATGACTGCGTACCAAGAGCTCGTGTTGTTGGAGTCATGCTGTATTCTAGAAAAATCCTGAGCAGAAAACCCAGTGCAGTGGTGTTAGCAGCTTGTGATACAGACACAGCCTTCTGCTCCGAAATCTGGTCAGTAATCGGCGATGTGAGTGCAGTAACTTGGCTGAAGATTGAGATTTAAACCAATGCATACCTTTCTGGTAATGTCAGGCTGCCATTTAAAGAGCTGCTCTGTACATAGGAGTGTATAACGGTTCCCTGCTTACCTTTCAGTTTTAACTCCATTGCAGAAACTGTATTTGTTAGAATTGATAAAATGCTTCATATTAGCATTTAAATAGATAAAATCAGAGTTAGGGAACTGAGATAAGGTTCCAAATGTCTCACTGTTGTGCTCCTGTTTTGTTTCAGAATTAATCAGATACAAGTTAGAGAAAGCTTCCGAAATCTGAACAGATGAAGATCAATTGATAAATCAACCCAGCGATTCACCGTAATTTCAAGGTACTGTGACATGCTTACCCACATATTTTCCTTAAGCATAATATTCACATACTTTAGAAGTGAGAAGCGTGGAGAACAGGATATTAACAGGGTTGCAAAGCAAGTCTGAAGTGTTACCAGATGCAGTGGGGAGACTTTAAAAAAAAAAAAAAAAAATGCAGGTGTTTAATATATGTTTCAGTGGGAAATAAAGCGACCTTACAATCGATCTAAAGGGAGTTCAAGCATGGAACAGTCAAACCTCAAGATAAAATCAAGTTGTATGACATATTTTGGTCACTTAGATGAAGTGAGCTGGTCAAGGAAGGTTTGGCATACAGGCAATTTAACATTTTAGATTTATTTATTATATTTTAGAAGGCATAAACTTCTTCTAAATAGTTATTTTGTCTATTTCAACATTTCTGTGGTACTTCAAGGTATTTGAAGGCTGTTATACTCTAGTATAAATCACAGCCTACCGGCTTCGTCAGTGCCATTGTCTGACATGTTCAGAAAGTAGAACTGTAAACTGAGGCAAGAACTGTACGGTTACTTGACAAAGAGAGAATTATGATGATAAAGTGAAGTTTTGGCTAAAAAGCTGGTATTGCAGATTATCAGGTACTGCAAATTCATTGATACAGTATCTATTTCTTTCCCTGTTTCCCCGGTGTTTATTTCTACTCTGTATCATCATGCACATTTCACCATTTTGTGTACTTTTTCTGATTAGAATGAAAGAAAAGATTTCATTCAGAGTCTTCATTTTTCTTATGCACAGACTTGGAGAATCCAGCCTGTTACAGTCTGACTAGTATTTGCTGTGCAAATCATCTTTTAATATATTTTTTAGAATAGATTGTAGCAGAAAGTACCATTACAGTTAGCATGGAGCTGGTCTGCAGAATTTATTTAAGTGGCAGAGTTGATCTGAGCTCGAGAAGAGTGAGGAATGTTTGTCATGGTGTGGCTCTTAAACTGCCCCATTCTCTTGAACAGCTCAGCCAAAACTCTTTTTTTTAACCTTTCATATTGCATTTGAAAATTCTTTTTGGAAAGTTTATGTGAAGCCAGGTGCTATTTCAGAAGGAGAAATATTATAAAACTGTTACCTTTGGGTACTGCTTGCAGGATTGTACAATTTTTGGCATGTGGAAATGGAAGGGCATTTAAGTCACATTTGATAAGTAAAGAAGGAAGTGTTTGTAAGGTTTTGTTAGATACAATATATTTTATAAAACAGAGAGTATAAATTTTAGAATAAATGGCAATGGCATACATTTATCATTTGGGTCTTAAAATGTTAAGTTATTTTAATATCACAATGTAGTCGTCATGAAGTTTAGTTAAACTTGTGGGGGTGTCCATTGCATTCTTATCCCAACTCAGAACTCTTCTCAGATTTACTTACATTTATTTGCTTCCACTTCTTCTCCTCAGAAACAGATACTTCGAGTTAATTTCTAATCCTAACAATATTATTCTTTTCCCTGGTACACATAGGTTATAGTAAGTATCCACAGTAATTTCACTTTCAAGTATATAAGGTAGATGTATTCCAACACTTCTGAGCATCTTCAACTCCCTTTGAAGGGTTACTCATAAATAAAATTAAACACATCAACCTCTTTCCAGGATCTGTGGGAAAAGGGTAATAGATTGTTATGGTTTGGTGTTTGAGTTTTTATCACATGCTGCTCATGGTTATTATCCTGAGGGATCACAGTCCTGTGAATAAAGGGAGAAGTTGGTTGATTTGACTGGAGGTGAGATTGAACTACAGATTACCATAATGCATGTTAGTAACGTATTAATATTTTTTCTGTGGTGTGGCTTAAATGAAATGGTCTGTTTTGTTATGTCTGCGTAGTTTTCTCATCACCTGGACATGATGATTTATATGAACTTTTTATCTCTTGCCTCCCTGCTTGCCCAATTATATTCCTGCACATCTCAAACTGGAGACATATTTTAATACGCACGAAATGTGTTCCTAGTTCCACTGCTGTCAACAGGAGCTGACACCAGGGTCAGGATATTGCTTCGGTGTATCAGCTGCTTGAGTTGTCATTTCAGCCTGAATCTCATTTACCAACAAGTCTTCGCTGATAGTATTTGTTCTTAGTTTTTAAGTCCCTCTTGATCACATCAGACTTTTTAGCTATAATTAACTTACTTGATTTTCTTTAGTGCTGTAATGCCCCTCAGATCTTTTCCTCAACAGACTTTTTTTATGAATTCACTTTCTTTTTTTTTTCTTCTAAGTACTGATAAAATGACACCCTTGCAGGCTCTCCCTGTCTCCCCCTTCACGCTTTTAATTCATGCATCCTTTGCAGTCACTGTGGAAAATCACCAGCGACTCAATCGTATCGTTATCCTTCTGTTCGTAAAAGAGTTCAGCTGCAGACTCATCCTTGCTTTTTCATTCCAGATAAGAATTATCATATCTCAGGTCTTTTATGGTGGTTGTCTCATAGATTCTAACGAAACACCTGACTAAGGTGTTCCCTGTATGAACAGCTTCCCAGGACCACCTGGCAAAAGGAGGAAACCTGCCAGTACAGGTGAAAAAATGCCTGCAGTGTCATGACACAAAATAACCATCCTCTGGAGTGTTAAGCAGTTGCATGCTGTCTGTAGGCATGCATGTCAGCAGAGCATTACCAGCCGTGGTTAATATGTCGTTAAATCTGTTTAGTGAGCTTTGAAGCTGTGGTTTTCCCTTTTTTTGTGTGTTTCCTTTCCTCTTCCTGACTTAATTCTTTCTTTCCTTTCACAGGCTGTGATGTATTTCTTTGTTTGTTTGTTTATGCTTTTTTCACCCCCACTATTTGTCTCTCTCCTCTACGTTATCTGCTGCTTCTGTTTTCCTGCCTCACATTTCCTTCTCCACTTCCTCTCTCCCTGAACTTAACTTACTCCTCCATGTTTGTTTTGTGTTTTTTTTTTTCCTCTCAGCTCTTTGATGAATGAGTTGGGTATGTGTTCTCACTCACACACACAAGCAGCGTGTGGTTGTTTGATCACAATCTCAGTCCCAGTGCTGCTCCTTGTGCTGTTTTGCTTCCTTAGTTAAACCCCTTGAATTGTAGCATTTCTGGAAAACTTTGTTCTGTTAAAGGAGTGTGATTAAAGGAGCTATTCTTGACCAGATTCATCCCTCTTGACTCTGGGTGCCTAATAGAGGACCCTAATTCAGGTGCAGGGTCATCCTTGTCTTGCATGGTCTATGGGAAGAGAAGGGCTTCTTCAAAAACCGTTTGGGACCAGGAGGGACCAACCTGATCTCAAAAGTATCCCTGGCTCTCCACTGAGTGCCAAGGGAACTTTGAATGACCACACTCCTTACCTGGGTGTCTCAGATTCATAACAGTCACCTGTTTAAAGTTTACAACGTTTTGAATTCTGTCCTTCTTCTAACGTGATGGATTTTCAGGGATTTGCCCCTAAAATCATCAATGCATCCATGTATAGCACTACGGAAACAATATAATTGAACTTGTGTGCCTTAAAAAACAAACAAACAAAAAAAAACATATTCAGCATAGTGGGTTTGTGGAAAAGAATATTGTCTCCACCTCCAGTCCTTTTAAAAGGAGTTTTTCGTCTGTCCCTATTCCTGCTCTCTGACTAATCGGTCTTGTGCACTGAACTGATGAACTGATCTTTCTGCTGCCACTTTCCTCCCTCTGCTGGAATACTGATGCATTCACGACACAGTGCAAAAAAAAAAAATCACTACAGGAAGAAAGTTTACTAAAGGATAGCCTGAGGCCCAGGCAGCAGAATTAGATCTTGAGTGGGTATGTATAGGAAAAATAAGTTGTGAAAGAGGGACAGGAATAAAACACAACAACAGGTTTGAAAGAGGAAGAAGATCTTTGAAATAAAGGTACCTCTTTGGCTGGCACTTTTAAAGCAAGAGGCACTTCTGAGTAACTTGATGAGTATCAATGATAGAAACTGAAAATTTGATAATCTATTAGCTTGTTAAAGTACTTAGCTAATCAACAGTAATTTTGCCAAATTAAGCCATTTTACTTTTGTGTCATTTGATATACATACGTCAGTAATGATTAAAGAAAAGAGTCATGATGTAGAGCATTAATTAGATATATCACAGTCAAATCTATTGCTATTAAAAGGCAGGTGTTGGTGTCCTATGGCTCTGTATGGACACCCATCACTACTTGCATTAGGATCAATGTAAAATAAATACTAATAGAGGATTTTTTTTTGTAAATTTGAGAAACTAAGAATGAAAGAAATCAGTAGTAGATTTTTGTTTTCCTGTCTGGTTTTTACACCATAAAATTAGTTTAGGTTCTGCTCAGAAATTCAAGATTTTGAATTTCAACGCCTGACTGACATGTCCCACTGATGTTTTTAGCTTTCATTATAAGTAGCTATTTATCTTTTTAAGTATATTCTTGGATAATAAAGGAATAGGGTCCTTCATTCATCATTTATCTTTCAGCTCTGGCCCCATAAGCACCTCCTGCTCATGCTGAGACCTAAAATGAAGAGAGAGTCCATGGGTTTGGGCAACAGCAGTTCAGTTAGAAACAGGTGTAACCGACAGATCACGACCCAGCTCCAGAAGCTTTTATTAGTCCTGCTACAACTTCCTGCGATAGAAGTTGTTGTTTTTATCTAAATCTTGTAGAGTTTGAGTTATTTTAAGGAATTAGACGTGGAGTGACAGGGGAGAAGAGTTTCCCTCGCTGTTCTGCAGCAGATGTGCAGTTTTACAAGATACGTCCTGCGTGTGACAGAAGTTATCACTGGGGCCGAACACCGAATCTCCTTACAATTACAGCCTGTCCCGTCCCCTGCCACGACTGCCCGATGTGCTTGTGTGTTCAGCTCCCTTACACGCACAAACGAGGCAAGGCACATCCCTAGCGGGTCGCGGTGCCGCGCTCCCAGGCTTGTATTTCACCCAAAATAGCGAAGCCTGGGCCGAGCGTGCACGCACACCTCCGCAGCGCTGCAGCGGGGCCGTGCAAACCCTTCTGTTTACTGTTTGGCCTGCGGCTGCCTGGTTTTGCAAATACCAGCATACCACCTAGGGGACTGACGGGCAGCCCCTGGTGCTGCTGCCCGCGGTCCCACGCGGCCGAGATTTTTGTGTGGGATGCAGCAGGTTTGGGTCCCTGCGAGCGGGGTGGGTGCGGGGGGGGCGGGGGGGCAGAGGAACCTGGGCAGCAGAAAGGGTGCAGGGAGAGAGCAGCTTGCAATTAATTTATTAATTTATTTTATTTTTAAAATATATTAATAAAATATATTAATAAATTAATATATATAATATATTAATAAATTATTATATTTTATTTATAATAAAAATCTTTAAAAATAATAAAAATAAAAAAAATAATAAAAATCTAAATAAAATTTAAATAAAATAAAAAAAATAAAATAAATTAAAAAAATCTAAATAAAATAAAAATCTAATAAAAATCTAAAAAAAAAACTTCTATTGAATATAAATTAAATTGTGCATAATCGCAGAACTTTGTTAGTGACAGTTTCTGGCCAGGAGAGCATTTTTCCCAAAACCTTCTCATTTTTAGTGCTTGACGAGGGGGTAATTAAGAAGAAAAGCAAGTGGGGCAGCAAGGCTGGGGGCCCGACCCGCAGCCCCGGGACCCGCAGCCCCGGGACCCGCAGCCCCGGGACCCGCAGCCCCGGGACCCGCAGCCCCGGGACCCGCAGCCCCGGGACCCGCAGCCCCGGGACCCGCAGCCCCGGGACCCGCAGCCCCGGGACCCGCAGCCCCGGGACCCGCAGCCCCGGGACCCGCAGCCCCGGGACCCGCAGCCCCGGGACCCGCAGCCCCGGGACCCGCAGCCCCGGGACCCGCAGCCCCGGGACCCGCAGCCCCGGGACCCGCAGCCCCGGCCCTAACGGCGGCGGTGCCGGTGCCGGTGCCCCGGTGGCCGTGCCCTTAAGGTGGCTCCGAATTTAAGGAGGCTCCGGCGGGGCGGGGCGGAGCGGGCGATCCCGGCCCAGCCCCAGGCGGCCCCGTCGCAGCGGGGGGCCGGGCGGGTTCGTGACGCGGTCGTTGTTTTTTTTTGTTTTTTTTTTGTTTTTTTTTGTAGGGTCGCCCCATGGAACCGGGGGATCCCCGCCGCTCTTGAGGCAGCGCCGCCGGCCCGACAGGCGCCTCACTCACCTGGGCGGCGGAGAGGGAGGCAGCGCCCCGCGCAGCATGGGCACCCGGCTCCGGGCCCTCGGGCCGCCGCGCAGGTGAGGTGTGGGGGGGGCGGGGGGGGCAGCGGGATTTGGGGCAGAACCGCGGGATTTGGGACTTGGAGGAAAGGAGGGGGGGGGGGTTGAGGGGACTCGAGAACCCCGCGGCGCCACCTTAAGCGCGGCGCCACCTTAAGCGCCCGCCGCCTTGTCTCGGTGCATTGTAGCAGCGGAAAGAATGTCGGCGCGGGCCGCGGGTGACGTCAGAAGGGAGCAGCGCACAGCGGCGGCGGCGGCGCCCAGGCAGCGGCAGCGGCAGCTCCGGGCCCGGCCCCGGCCCCGGCCCCGGCCCCGGCCCGGCGAGGGAGGCGCGGGCGGAGGAGGCGGGAGCGCAGCCGGCCCCGCCGTCACCGCAGCGGCAATGGCGGCCGTCGGGGAGCGCAGGTCCCTGCCCAGCCCCGAGGCGATGCTGGGGCAGCCCTGGAGCCACTGGGTCGACGCTGCCAAACTGCACGGGAACGACGGTGAGAGCCCCGCGGGGGGTGGCCCTGCCCGGCACCCGGCCCCGCAGCCCGCTGCCGTGCCCCCCAAACCCGTCCCCTTTTCCCTTCCCAGCGCACCGGGGCTTGGGGCAGCCCCAGCACGGCACAGCGGGGTCCCCCAACGTCACCCGGGTCCCCCAACGTCACCCGGGTCCCCCAACGCCAACGGGTTCCTCAGCACCGTGCCCCCAACGCCATCCCCTTCCGCTCCTCCGGCCCCACGGACGCCGCTTGTCACCGGGTGCCGTGCTCCCCGACCCCATCACGGCCCCACACCTGCCCCTGTCCTCGTCCCGGGGGGCTGCGGGGGTCCCACCGTGCAGTGTCACTGAGCTCTGGGGGCTTTCTGCTTGCAGGGGCGGCGTTAGAAGAAAGTTTCAAGGAATACGGGAAAAATCGAGAAGCGATGCGACTCTGCCGAGAAGGTGAGTGCGGGGTGTTCTTGACCGAAAGCACCCCAAGAAGTTTTTCTGATGGCGACTCCTGACCAGAGGACACGTGTGGGGGAGAAAGGAGGCTTCTTGTCAGTGCTGGCGCTTCAGTTTGGGCACCTGTGGCCTGGCGACCAGGGACATGATTGGCGTTGTTATTAAGTTAACACCTAACCAAAACTCCGGGGTTGAACGTAGGTCACTTATCGCATGGCGTTTATCGTGTTTTCAGTGGGATTTTCTTTGGCCCTAAGCAGTCCCAAGGAAGTTGCGTGACCAGGGCCGCTAATATCTTCTCTTGAGCCAACCTATTTTCACTCGGAATATAATCCGTGCCGGTAGCTGGACGCAGGTCTCCCTCCCTGTCATGTCAGTGCGTTGTGTTTATTTGTTACTGCGAAGCGAGAGTGACCTTTCACCTGCGATTAGCAAAAGCACACGAAGGGCCGGGTTCGCTTCAAAAGTAGCACTGCTGCTTGAGCTTGTAACCAAACGATGAATGACACCGGTAGGGTATGGTAACTGTGTGGCAGGGAGTGGGAAAAGCAGCAACAGCCTGACTTTTGATGTATAATTTTCTTTCCTTTTTATTTTTTTCTTTTTCTTTCCAACTTCCTAAAACTTTCACGTTATTGTTAGTGCAAGTTCACTTCAGCAGACTTTGTTACTGAGAAGTGCAGGGTGCAATAGGCCTCGCTGCTTTAAATACTAGCTCAGTTACACTCGAGTCACTTATTTGACACTGTTTGAAATGGAAGACTGAGTTTGTAAACTTCGTTTACAGTTGTAGAAAGTGGGACTTGCCAGGGACCTTAGGGGACGATCTGATTCAGCACTTCTCTGTTTGTGAGCTACAAGCAGCAAGTGAAAATTACGGAGGCTGTGCCAGTGTGCTTTAAGATGGGGAGGCAGTAATCTGTACAGAAGCTGATTCAAAATGTCTACTTATTGTAGAATTTGTAACGTTGCTAAAATTTAGAAAAAAAATGATTATAGGACCAGATTCAGTGGGCACTGGGCTGTAAGAGAGATGCAGTAGAATCCTATGCTGCGGTATACAGAAACGTTTGTACCGTTTTGCCATCACTTTTGTGTGTGTATAAGTTCTTGGGTGTTTGAAAAGCACCTTAATACTTTATTGCTGAGTTCTTGTCTAGTATTTCTGTTGGATATTTAATTTATTTTTCTGAATTGGCAAATCACTCGTGCTAAAACAACGCTTGTAAACAATAAGCACACATTATCCTAGCAAAGATTTTGCTAATAAGGATTTTCAAACATTCTTTCTTATTTCTACCTCATAAAATACAAGCATCTAAGGTTTCCAGTTTTTAAAGATTAGCTGGCAGGGTGAGGAATAATCTTTTTTTTTTTTTTTTTTTTTTTTTTTTCCCTGGAGAGAGATCGTGAAACTGCTTTTTTTGCATAGGCTGACCACTGAGACACAGCTTCTCTCTACTGCCTCCAACCATGTGAATTGTAGGATTATGGCTAGAAGGAAGTTTGTAAAAATTATAAAAAAAAAAAAAAATCAAGATCTAGCAGTGGAACTTAGTAGCTCTGTCAGACATCCAACAGTCTTTTTGACTGCTGTATGACATGTGAATGAGACACTGACTTGGCATACACCTATAGTTGGTCTGCAGGGAGCTCAGCCTACAAATTAGAGCAAAAGATAAAGTTGTGCTAATTAAGTGTGCACTTAAAGAACTAGGGGAGTGGCAAAACGTGCTGGCATGTGTATGCATTGTGTTATCAAATAAGGTTTTGAGAACACTGTAACTGGTTTGATTTCCCAGGAAGAATTTTGCATTCAAAATTGAGGAACTGACATTTATTAAGTAATTGGGCTGTCTAAACAATGGATCTTAACATGGAAAATATGAATCAAATTATAAATTTTACCAAATCAATTCAAACTTCAAGATTTTTGTCATACCACACAGTATTTATGTAAGGTTAAATACACAACTCGCTGTATAGAGAAAGTTCCTTCTCTTCAGATTGGGCGTTGAGTCAGAGGCCCAACTCGACAAAAGGATTTCAAGGTTATTTAGACTAATTTAACCTTGTATTGCAACTCTTCCAGTTTGCATAAAAGAATTAAATATTCATGGCCTGGAGAGGGAGAGAAGAAGGGAACATGAATTTACAGTCCACTTATTTGAAGTGGGTTCAAAACCAAGAGCTGTTTTCTTTATTTAACAATTGTCAACTTCCAGATCAGGCTCCCACTGGCCTGTACCCACTGGCTTGTAGCTGTTTCCTTTCCCACATGGTCTTTCTCTAATTTCAGTCTTCTGGTGGGAATTAGCTTCAACATCAGTCTGCCTGATGGTGAGAGATGTGTTTCAAGCTTTCAGGCAGCGGAGCGTGGATCTCCTAAATGAGGAGTGAGTGTTCGCGTTGCCGTAAAGCTGTATTAAAAAGAGGGTTAAAAAAAGCTTGTGCTTTAACAGAAAAGAAGCATGCTTGTTATTCTTTTACAGGAATAAAGGACACGAATATGTAATTCCAGGACATACCTGTAAGCTTTGAAGAGAGGCAGGGTTTCAGGCGTTTGTCACTGGAATTTCCTACTTGCTGATCAGGCAGCTCCTCTCAACGTGCTGGTTGTTGCGAAGCCTGATGAATCCTTAATACCTGTCAGGAATGCCAGTTCCATGGAGGGATCAGGAAACCAAAATTAGTTCAAAGTCTCAAATGTGTTTATTATATCAAACCCTTCTTGACATACCCAAGCTTGCATTGAAGTAACAACTAGAAATTGGGTTGTCTTCCCTAATTCCCTGTGTTCCTCTTGTACTTCCCCAATCCACTGTTCTTATGTGCTTTCTCTTCTGCTAATCCATAATGTACAATCTTTCCTGCTGGGCTCCTCGAAGACCTTCACGAAAGTGAGAATTTCACTGGATGCTTTCCCACATGTCGCTTTCTGAGGCAGTAAGAGTCCATGCTGAGCTTTGATGTAGAAATTAGAACCACGGGAATATGGTACAGGCCCAAAGCACTTGGCTCGCTTGTGGTATGGAAAATCCCCAACAGATGGAAACGAGAAACGGGCATCCTTCAGCATGGGAAAATCTTATTTTAAGGTACACTCTAGGCCTTACTTTGTCTTCGTACACTGAAATCATCTCATGACAAACTGCTATCAATGCACGGCCACGTTAGAAGCAATTGTACTGCAGTTATTTTCACAAGTAGTTCATACAACAGAACTTAGCTCATCCCAGCACTTAATTGCTTGCTATTTGCGAACCAGCTGAAGGTGTGACTTCTCTGCCACATGGTTTGCTGCGATGAATAAACAGAAACATGTTGCATTATAGTCTGTAAATGTGTTCTAAAATGAGGCAGAAAATCTAGTCATGTTCATTTGTCTTACATTTTAAAATACGACTCACGTTATGTATACGTGGTTCATCTTAGGGATGCAGTAGACATCAAAAGGAGGTTGATGCTTTTGTACCCTATGACACTTTCTTTTTTGTGTTAAATTCTTAGTGTTAAACTGTCATACTCTGATTACAGCAAACATAATCATTTTTCAGGAGATTCTTGCTGCCCATTGTTGGATTTGGTTTGCTTTTGAAAAACATTTTCTAACCTATTCTTGTTGCAAAGATGATCTTTAAATGGAACTGTGGATGCAGGCGCAGAGTTCATTCACCGTAACTTTGTCAGGCTCCAACAGAGCGAACTTTTGCTTCTTGCAAAATTTGACAACAGGTTGGTTCATTTCAATCTGTGGATCAGGAGAGCTTTGAGTAGAAATGATGTGGCCTAAACCTGGTCCTTGGACTGGGGCTTAGCCCTCCCATGGTCCCTGAGACTCCCCAAACCAACCAGCAACCCCCCACCCCTTCCAGTAAAGTTTCAGTTGCTACCAACTGTCTCGTACGTTATTTTAAAACCCCGCCCTTCAAAAAATAAACCAAAACCCACAAGGCTGTATTAGGAAGGCAGAGACAGAAAAAACATGTGTGCTCTTAGCAAAGATGTAATCATTACATTTGCAGTAATGCTTCTTAATGTGTGCCACCCCTTTGGAGTGGTTGGGGTGAAAGTCTGTCAGATTGCTGCAATGATTTATGAAATAATTTAGAAACATAGGTATAATAAGAAAAATGCTAAGGAAGCGATAGCATCTGAGGAGGAAAATAAAATAGTGGGGAAGAGAGATTGGGTTAGGCAATTTGAAGTTCTTTGAGTGCATGTGTTTTTGATAACATATCCAGTGCATGCTGAAGTTTTGGGCAGTCTTTACTAGAGCTTAAGCATCTTTTTCTTTCTGTTACACATACAGACCTATTTCTTAATTTATTTTTCAATTGTGAACCCCTTGGTCCTATCTATATCTAGTGCTTCAGTGGTACTGTCACCACAGTTTACAGATAACTGGCAAGAAAGTACAGGAAGAGGAGGAAGGTGACAGCGTTTGCAGCTTAGGTCATGAGCTGGGTTTGATCAATTACCATTGAAAGGCTGTTGCATCTTGTCTGACAGAACTCTTTGTCACCCTTACAGCATCCGTAAAGTCTGGCGGTGATGTCGCGGTTTGTACTCGAGGCTCTGAGGTTCCCGAGGAGGCTGTGGAGGTAGATGCTGAGGAGACAGCTGTGGTATCGTAGGCTGAGGCTGGTTCAGCGATGGTCCCTGATGTGTTAGGTGTGCTCGGAGGGTTCACAGCTCAGAACTGGTGCTGTCTGTGTGGCCGGGTGGCCTGGTACCACTCTTACAGTTTTTAGACTATGCTTGTCTTACTTAGTAAAGCACATTCTGAATTTTCTGTGAGAGCACAGACTGTCAGTTTTTGGTAGGTGGCTTCAGAAGACTTTGTTACCATAGGGATCTATCAGGAGAGCAGGTGGGAACAAATTCTGTTCATCGTGTCACCTGATAGCAGTTGAACTTCTGGTCACGAACAGTTAGTATGTCCTGGGGAGGCAGAAGGGGGGGAGAAGGAGGAGGGCAAAAAAAAAAAAAAGCCT